CACACACACACACACACACACACACACACACACACACCTGCTGCTGCTGTTCAAACACCTGTCAGGTATTTATAAACCTGTCAGAACACAAACCTCCAGCGGGCACAGAAACAAACTTTTATTTTTGTTGAACTCAAAAATAGAAACAGGAAATAAAYTTATTCCTTTTATTAAAATCCTAACTTTAGTTTCTGAATTATTCAAACTTTAAAAACTATTTTCCCACATGTTAAACAATCTGTGAGAGAATAAGTTTATAATAAAATCTCTAGGGTTAAACTCTAAACTCCTGCAGAAAGATTAAAGTCAAGCAGAAATATTTCAAAATAAGAGTCCAGTGGTTTTGTCTCTGCTTGGATAAAATCTTAACGTGGTCGAGTTTCCCTCCCAGACCTGTTGAGTCTGTCAGCGCTCAGAGCTCTGGGAGGAGGAGGAGTGCTGAAAGTCAAACGATCCTCTGCACTTATGGACCCGACCCGCCCCCTGATCTGAGACCTGATGTTCCTGTCGTCTCTCATCGCTCAGGTTCTGACCCGGCAGGAGCTCCGTTTACACGGTTCATGCTACAGCTGCTAGCAGGTGAAGGAAGGAAAATCAAATGTTGGAGMTGAGTTTCTGCAGAACGAGGCCGAAACATTAAACTTTACGTGTCTAAACTTCAAAAATAAAAAGAAACCAGAGCTTTACTCTGGCTGAAGTTCAGTCTCCAGTAAATATTAGGTCTTTATGAAACTAAAACATTTATTTTACTGATCAGAATCATCTAAACTGTTTTATTCTGAAGGATCCAGATGTTTCCTTTAACTGTTGTTTAAATAAAGTTTTAAAATCTTCCAAACATTAAGATTTAATCTGATTATTTTTATTCCACTGCTCGTCCTCCCCAGAGAGGAAGAGGGGGGTTCTGGTTCTGATCCAGTTTTAGGTTCAGGAGAACTGAGCTGCAGATTTTCAAACCTGGAACTGAAACTCAGGTTCTGATGACTCCTCTTCATCACTTCTTCATCTCCTCTCTTTAGTTTCATTATTATATTTTCATATTTTCTGCCTCTTTCTTTTTACTTTTCTTATTTGCTTCAGTTTCTGTTTTTCTTTTCTTCAGTTCCTTTCCTTCAGTCTTTCCTTCTGTCCTATTTTTCTTCCTTATTTCCTCCTTCCTTGACTTCCATCTTTCTTCTTTTCTTACTCATTCTTTTTCTTGTTTGTTTTCCTTCCTGTTTTATAAAACCCACAGATCTTTGCTGCTGGGGTTCAGGCTCTGGTTCTGGTTCTGGTTCTGGTCCTGGTTCTGGTTCAGGTTCTGGTTCAGGCTCTGGTTCTCTGTGTTGTGGGAAAGCTGAGCTGTTCTGTTCATGAAGAAAGGAGATCTTTGTTGCTCCACATTCCTCCAGCTGAAGCCACCAGAGGAACATKAAAAAGCTTTAATGACATTCCTGAACGGGCCGAGCCGGACCCTCAGACCCAAAGTTCTGTCTGCGGCAGCACAACTCCCAGCAGCTCYGAGGGGCTGGAAGTTATTAACACAAAATAAAAAAATGTGTTTSTTTTTTACAAACAGAAACCTCAGTTTGATTGTTTTAAATAAAGTTTCAACGTTTAAAAGATTTACAACCAAAAGTGGAAAATTTTCAATTAAATGTGGAACGAGTCAAATTTAAAAC